GGATGCTTGGAGTAAGCGCCCTGCCCATCTCCAGGGGTCAGCCAGCACACCCCAGAGCACGTCTTGGCTCCTTCGTGCATTTTCTTGCTCCCTAAAGCCCTGCTTTGCTCTCTCACTTCAGGGATGTCCGTTTGAGCACACTCCCTCTTCCGCATACAGTGAAGGACCCTGGAAAGACCAGAAACATTCTTTGTAAAATACAACATTGCATTAAACTAACGGCATTACTTAGCGTGCAGACCTGATGGCTCTGACGCTTTATCTACTCCATGCCCAGACTTCCTAGTGACTCCGGTGGGGGTTGGTACATGCAAAGATGAGTAAACAGGGTTTGGAAACCCCCAGCCCATAGCGCTGTGTATGGAGCCCCAACCATTCAAACGGGCTCATTCTCAAACCTGAGCTTGATATGGCAAGGGGCAGTGTGAGGAGCAGAGACTTGAGTGAGAGGCTCTTCCCTCCACCCCCGCCAAATGCTGTGCTTGCTCCCAAACAGGGCTGCTCTGGGTTCCATGTAGCAGGAATAATTCTTGCCACCGCAAGAATTTGGGCTTCAGGGGCTTGCCCTGTGTCTAATCCACTGTTTCTTGTGCTGTATCTGTGGGTGCCTGAGGCTTGCTACTTGGCCAGAAGCATTTGCTCCGTTCCATAGGTGGGCGCAGCTTTCACTAGTTTTTGAATTCTCCGGACTGTGGCTGCACAGCCGTCAATTCCCAGATGGGGCTCTGAGTCAGTGATCTCACTACTAATCTACTCTGCAAAACCCTGCTTTGCCCCCAGGTGTGTACAGAGGCGGCTATGACGTGCTGGTGAGGTCCAGGCTGGCACTGGGAGACGGTGTGACCATGCAGGTGACTGTCCGGAGCAAGGATGAGACACCTGTGGATGTCATCTTGGCTTCTGTAGGCTAAGTCAGGCTATTTGCAGTACCTGTAGTTGGGAATTTCACCTCCAGGATCTCAAACAGCCTGGCTTGGTTGTGTCTGACCTTCTGCATGGAGTTTTTATTCATCGTTTTGTATGATACTACAGTAATGACAGTTCTGGCTGGTCTAACATACTCTTAATGCTGGGTCAAACCCCCTAGCCTAGTCATCAGTTTCACAGGCCTCTGACCAATTGCATCTGTGGACTTTACAAGACTTGGTAGGGGATAAAAACAAACTGGAATCTGAATTGTCAAATATTTTTATTAACAGAAAATAAACATTGATCATTCCAGTTTCAAGTTGTGGAATTGTAGCTGAATTGTTAATAATAAAATAGAATCTTTAAAAATTTTGCCATAGCAACTGCAAGTACAATACTTCTCACTGGGGAGAACTGTCACCTGGGTTGACAACTGAAATCTGTTTGGTACAACACAAGCAGCCCCTAGTGAAAAACCTTTCCTCTTGAAGGGATGATAGGAATGAGAAATCTGGATCGATGCAAAAAGGAGTGGTTCTTAATCCCCCTTACAATCGTGTGATGATTGTCCTCTTGCTGAGAGAGCCATACAACAACCTCTGTGTTGGAACAAAGGTAGAGTTTAAAATATTACACAATTTCACTTTTGAGCCTCCTCTCTGACCCATTATCCTCAAATTGAGTTAAATGTGGTCCCTTTTTAAGGAGAAGACTTCATATTATGGAAAGTAGTAACAAAGCCTCTGTATGCAGCATAGCCAGCACTTCAGCTGTATTTAAACACACTTTAATGCCTTTTATAAATCTGTTTTTAGGTAGTTATTACTTTATTAGTGGCAACCAGTTTTAGGATTGCTAAGATACATCTACTATACAATTTATTTGAAAATACTTCAGGTAAAAAGCCATCGACTTCATGTTTCAGACTGATTCTAGGCTATAATACATCTTCTGTATCTCTTCAAGACATACTGGTGAGGCTACAATGCCAATTAATTTGCCTCTTGTTGTTGCATTCCAGAGCTGGGTATTAATAACAGGGGCTAGATAATTAAGGAAACTTGCCTTTTAGTGCCACAGACATTACTGGGTGGGTCAGGAGAGATTCTGGGCCTGTAAAAGCCCTTCTGTAGCTACTTCTACCAAGATAAATACTCATCCCCCAGTATAACGCTACTCGCACAAGGGATTTTGTGCCCAGATTAGAGCACTAATTGTGTAGACAAGCCCTTCAAATGAAGCATTAGGAAACAATGCCTGGCACCTAACTCCTAGTTCACAGCTTTATAAGGTATTTTTTCATCCTGAAGCTGGTATATACAGTAGCTCAGTTAAAATGCACTTTGAGAAAAGAAATATCTTCAGTGCCTCTTACTGTCCCAGAAACAAGGTAACTGACATGTTTGTGAATGGGATGCTGGCTCTTTAGGATAGGCAGGGCTGCTTCTGGCCATGAGGTCAGGAAATGAGTCCTGGAATAGCATGATTTACACTGCCATCCCTCTCCCCTTGTGATCTCTCTCTTCCTTACCACTAGTTCCCAACAGCACCCTCAGGTCCAGGAATGTCAGGGCTACTCTGTTTCCTGTAACAGGCCCATGGTCTTTCATGCCTCCCTACAGGCTAGTCCTTCCCAGCACTCAGTGGATTTAGTTCCATGCACAGATGCCGCAGTCTAACATACCCACACAGGACAGGAGAGTTGTCAGGTCAGGAAATAAAGCCAGGATCTCTCCTCAATGCCATGGTTCCTACAGTGAACCCCACTAAGCCAGAGCATGAGAGGGGAAGACCACAGAGCTGCTCAGAAGGAGTTGATGAAGCTCAAGTATGCATTCAGGAAGCCCGTTGGATCTTCGAGCTGTGGATAGTGGCTAATGTGGTCGTCCAGAACAGAGACTGTAGACATGGGAAGCACTTTCCTGTAGAACGAATGACAAACTGGTAAGCGCATGCCCCCAGAGAGGCAGGCTGGAGCAGACACGTAATCTGACTAGGCTTTGACTGCTGAGCCGTGGAGTGGGCCCCACAACTGCACTGAGGTCTTCTAGGATCCTGTATGGGCATTCTTAATGCAACACCCAGGCCTTAGGTTAGCCCCTAAGTCTGCAGGCTTTTGCCAGGCTCTGTGCCCCCTCTACTGCCCCCCCAAAAGGCCCTTGCAGGTGGTGAGAGGCTGCTTTTGTCTTTTATTCACTGGCCTGTCCATTCACTTGAACAGGGGGATTGTCTGGTTTCATCCATGTAGTAGCTACTGGCACATTCAGTGCCCTGGATGAGGTCTCCCCCCACCCTGACTAGGACAGCACGTATGGAACCTAGGGATCTTGGAAAGTGCACGGATGGGGGTTGTGTTGGGCATTGATCAATGCAGCAGTGGAAGCTGCAGCATGGGCAGGGGCTGGTGCTGCTTTTGGTTAGTGTGTCCTGGGCTGGAGGGAGCTTGGTTCTGATGTGCTTAGAGATGCTGTCTGAAGGCCCGAGGAAAGATTTTTTTCAGGTGAGGGTCCCCATAGAACAGCGGCTCTCAACCTTTTCAGGCTAGTGGATTCTGATGTATCTGGGGTACCTTCTAATTTCACCTTACTGAACAACTACTTGCTCAGGCACAAAAGGGTCACAGCCCACTAGGATAGGAAAATTGTTGACTCGTTTAAATCGTCTTCCATACCTACTGACTGGAAGGTAGCGAACGTGACACCAATATTTAAAAAGGCTCTAGAGGTGATCCCGGCAATTACAGACCGGTAAATCTAATGTCAGTACCAGGCAAATTAGTCCAAACAATAGTTAAGAATAAAATTGTCAGGCATGTAGAAGAACATAATTTGTTGGGCAAAAGTCAACGTGTTTCTGTAAAGGGAAATCCTGTCTTACTCATTATTAGAGTTCTTTGAAGGAGTTAAACATGCAGACAAGGGGGATCCAGTAGATATAGTATACTTAAATTTTCAGAATCCCTTAGATTCAGAATCCCTTAGATTTTCAGGTCCCTCACTAAAGGCTCTTGTGTAAATTGTCATGGGATAAGAGGGAAGATCCTTTCATGGACTGAGAACTGGTTAAAAGACAGGAAACAAAGGGTAGGAATAAATGGTAAATTTTCAGAATGGAGAGGGTTTCCCCAAAGGGTCAGGCCTAGGATCAATCCTATTCAACTTATTCATAAATGATCTAGAGAAAGGGGCAAGCAGTGAGGTAGTAAAGTTTGCAGATGATACTAAGCTGTTCAAGATAGTCAAGACAGAAGCAGACTGAAGAACTTCAAAAAGATCTCACAAAACTAAGCGATTTGCCAACAAAATGGCAAATGAAGTTTAATGTGGATAAGTGTAAAGTAATGCACATTGGGGAAAAATAACCCCAACTATACATATAATGAAGGGGGCTAATTTGGCTATGACCAATCAGGGAAGAGATCTTGGCATTATCGTGGATAGTTCTCTGAAAACGTCCGCACACTGTGCTGCGGCAGTCAAAAAGGCAAGTAGAATGTTAGGAATTACTTTCTATCCCTTTCTTAATAAGACACACTATCTTACTGCCCCTGTATAAAACTGTGGAACACCCCCATCTTGAGTACTGAGTACAGATGTGGTTTCTTCACCTCAAAAAATATATTTTGGCCTTGGAAAGGGTTCAGAAAAGGGCAACTAAAATGATTAGGGGTTTGGAACAGATCCCATATGAGGAGAGGCTAAAGCGACTGGGACTTTTCAGTTTGGAAAAGAGGAAACTGAGGGGGGATATGATAGAGGTCTATAAAATCATGAGTGGTGTGGAGAGTGTGAAAAGAAAAGTTATTCATCAGTTTCCATAATATAAGCACTAGAGGACACCAAATGAAATTAATGGGTAGCAGGTTTAAAACTAATAAAAGGAAGTTCTTCTTCACACAGCGCATAGTCAACCTGTGGAACTCCTTGCCAGAGGAGGCTGTGAAGGCTAGGACTATAACAGAGTTTAAAGAGAAGCTAGATAATTTCCTGGAGGTTAGGTCCATAAAAGGCTATTTGCCAGGGGGTAGGAATGGTGTCCCTGGCCTCTTATCAGAGGCTGGAGATGGATGGCACAAGACAAATCGCTTGATCATTGTCTTTGGTCCATCCCCTCCGGGGCACTTGGCGCTGGCTACTGTTGTCAGACAGGCTACTGGGCTAGATGAATCTTTGGTCTGACCCAGTATGGCCATTCTTATGTTCTTATTTTACCATGTAATTATAAAATAAAAACAATTGTACTTACACTTCAGGATACAGTAGAGCAATATAAACAAGTCATCTGCATGACATTTTTAGTCTGAACTGACTTTGTTAGTGTTTTTTATGTAGCCTGTTGCAAAAGTATGTAAATCTCTAGGTGAGCTGATGTACCCTCAGAAGAGCTCTCTGTACCCCTTGGGCAGTAGTTCTCAACCTGTTATTATGGGCTGCTGCATGGGGCCAGGGAGTAGGGCCGAGCAGGGAAGCCCTGACCCCAGATCTCATGGCACAGAGCTGGACGACAGGGCAGCCTCGCCCCAAACCCACACCCTATGGTGTGAGGCTAGGTAACAAGGCAGGGCAGCCCTGATCCTGGGCCATGCTGGGTGGGGCCAGGCGGTTGAGAACAGTGCAAGCCCAACGCCAGACTCTACTTTGTGGGGCAGTGACCCAAGGCCCCACCACTCCAGGCAGGGTGGCTGCACTAGGCAATGGGGCAGCCCACACCTCTGACCCCACAGGTTGTGGGCTTTAGCACACAGCTGGGCTGCAGCTGTGCACTAATGGGGCCTCATGCAGCCCAGACGTTGAAAACCACTACCATAGTGTAGGGTGGTTGAACATCTCTTACTTAGACTGAGTGAGAGAGCGCCCATCTCAAGCATCCACGGCCAGAAACAAGCCCAGGAGGCGAGCTAGCTGCTGCTTCAGTTTACTAGAAACGCCTCAAACCTTTCAGGCATGTTTTACCTGATCATGAACAGGGAGGCGTGGACCAATACTAGCCTCAGATCATGCTCAGACTAGAGTTTATCCCAAATGGAAGCCACACCAGACTGGAACTCTCCTCTTCCCCCAAGAGATTCTTTCCCGTTCAGCAGAGGGAGATTCCCAGTTCTCCCTGAGTTCCCACAAACACTGACTCATTGAATGAGCGTGGGCTTCTCGATCTCTGTACAGCGCTGGCATTTTCAAATGGACAACACGCTTCGATTCGAAACTCAAGTCATTGGAGTGGTGGTTGAGAAGGGCTGGAACAGCAGCTCTCAGTGCTTTCAAGAAAGCAGCAAAACACAGTCTCCAGCTGTGCTTAAAATGAGGCACTGAAACTTACTTGTAGAGCTGAAGAAACTCTGGATATGGATTCACAGGATCCAAAGGCCCATAGATTAGATGCACTGGAAGAGGAAGAGCACAAAGAAAGCTGTCCACATGCACAGAACGGTTACCTAGCAAGAGATCTCAGTAAAGCCAGCAGCCATGGGAGAGGTGAGAACCGTTCTGCCTCAGACCTATGTTCTCACAAGGGCACAGACTAGTTGTAAGCAATGCGGGGGTGGGGGGTAGTGGTGTGGGAACCAGGGAGCATGGCCAGCACAGCTGGTACCCAGCTGTCGCACTGCGCGTAGGAGGGTGGGAGTTCAGTGCTCTGGAAACTAAGGGACTGTTTGTGTTGAGCACATCTGGGGGAACTGCCAGGCACAACCCGTGTCAAAGTGTAACGCGCAAGCCTGGCCCGAGTACAGAGGCTGCGCACAAGTGAATATTCAAGCATGAGCCTCTCGCACACCGCACAGGAAAGTCAGGCCCCCTCTGGGCTTGTCTGCTCGCACAGACCAATGCTTCACACCGATTTAGTGAAAGCAGCACAGCCGTAGTGTGGGGGCAGGTTACTGGTGTAAAGGTGCCTTTGAGTACACACCTGTACAGAAATGAGAGCAAGTGAGACCATCACAAGGCAACTGTATGCCAGTGCACCTGTGGCCAGTAGGGGGTTCCCTGCTCTTTTCCCTCTTGGATCTCAAATCTCAGGTAGAGCTGTGGGCTCACAAGGTTCTCCACCCTCCACCGAAATGCAGCCATCTCCTGGGGCTGGCCGGTGGGTGTTTAACAGCAGGGAATGACAATACACTGGGAGAAAGCGCTCAGTCAGATTAACCACCCTGGCTCGTTGTGCTGCCCTTCCCACCGCACACTGCACACAACGAAGCTACTTTCTCAGCAAACTCCCTCCTCTGCCTCCCCACATATCAAGGCCAAGCAGAGGAAACGAGGGACCTATAATAAAGTCACAGGAAGCTCTGGGGAAAGTCATAGGAGCTTTTTCCTAGTGGGTCTGATCAGTCCTTTAAAAAGGAAGAGTCAGAAGATGCTCAAGGCAGCTTCCTCTGAAACGAACATCCCACCCTTTCCCTGGGGCCTGAAGATTCTCCCACGTTTGAGAAGGGCGTGGGCTTTTCAGGGCAAACCGGACACCCCCAGCAGCCTTTAGAGATCTGCAACAGGATCCAAGGTGCCTCAAAGGAATTTGCTTACACGAGAATTATCTGGGTTACCATCCTGCCACTGGCTTCCACATGCCTGTGAATCACACTCGAGCTCTTTATCCTCACGTTCCAGGCTCTATGGCTCATTCCCCTCCCTGAACCAGTATCGCCGGCCAATCACGTCTGGGCATTTCCACACTACTGGCCCTCACCAAACCGTCTCCAGGGCTCATTCAAATCCCTTCCGAGAGCTCCCGTCTGACATGTCAGCAACCAGCAGCAGGCAGCAAACAAGGCTGACACCTGGGCCCTTCAAAACCTTCAATGCCAGCAGGGCCCCCAGTCCCTGTATTTGGTAACTCCAGCGCGGGTGTGCAGGGAAAAGAAATCCAAGCAGCAAAGGACAGTTCTGCAAGGGGACAAATACACACACAAAGGAAACTCTTTCCTACT